CCTAAACCCTTTTCTGACCCTGAAATGCACTCGAACCCCGAGAACAAGAGAACCCCCCAACAGGGGCTGCGAGATTTGGAAAGCCCTGTCCCGCAAAACTACAGGATGTCTCAACAATAAACTAAACCCCACAGCCCCTTAACCCTGAAGCTTAAGCCCTCAACCCAAGAGCCAAAACCCTAAACCCTAAACCCTGAAACCCTAAACCCTAAGCCCTACACCCTACACCCTAAATCCTAAACCCCAACCCTCGAATGGAATCTTCGCCCAGTGGCGGCTTCAGACTTGCCGAAGAAGGCGGCCATGTGCAACGGCGTGCGCTTGTGCCTCGGAGATAGGTTTTGGGGTTTCGGGTTTGGGGTTTAGGGTTTAGGGTTTAGGGTTCGGGGTTTAGGGTTCGGTTTAGGGTTTAGGGTTTAGGGTTTAGGGTTTAGGGTTTTCGGGGTTCAGGGTTTTTGCTATCTGCTTTTTTGGTTGTTACTGGATTCTTTGGGGTTCAAGGGTATTCTTGCCTTTTGTTTGCTTTCTTGGGTTTTGGGAGGTTTTAGGGTTGGGGGCTTTAGAGGCTTTAGAGTTTTTACGGTTCTTTTTTTGTGCTAGAGTTGCAGGGTTTGCTGGAGAACCCTGGCTATTTCTAGGTACTGGGAATGCGGGCCAACGGCGGTGTGGTTTAAGCGCGTAAGTTCAGGAAAGTACCGCTGAGAGACTGTTGGCAAACCAAGAAGGGAAGGGCATGCCTCTACGTGGACACTCAACTAAGATACGATCCCTATGGGCAGGCATGAAAACTCCGTTGTGGGTTTCGGTTTTAGGGTTTAGGGTTTACGGTTTAGGGAGCCGGTGGCAGGCGAGATTGAAGCTTGCAACTGCTGAGATTGCGTCGGGGGCTACCGGGTCCTGTACCCTAACCCTGAATGAGTCGGGACTCGGATAAAACCGTAGCACAAAAAAACACAAAACCCTGGAGCCCTAAACCCTAACTAAAGCCCCCAAACCCAAAGAAATCAACAAGACCAAAAAAAAACAAGAAACACAATACCCTGAACCCAAAAAAGAAAAAACCCAAAACCCGAAAACCTGAAAACCCCAAAACCCGAAAACCCGAAAACCCCAAAACCCCAAGACCCCAAAACCCCCCAAAACCCCCCAAAACCCCCCAAAACCCCCCAAAACCCCCCAAAACCCCCCAAAACCCCCCAAAACCCCCCAAAACCCCCCAAAACCCCCCAAAACCCCCCAAAACCCCCCAAAACCCCAAAACCCCAAACCCCAAAACCCCAAAACCCCAAAACCCCAAAACCCCAAACCCCAAAACCCCAAAACCCCAAAACCCCAAAACCCCAAAACCCCAAAACCCCAAAACCCCAAAACCCCAAAACCCCAAAACCCCAAAACCCCAAAACCCCAAAACCCCAAAACCCCAAAACCCCAAAACCGCAAAACCGCAAAACCGCAAGACCCTAAAACCCTAGACCCTGACTGAAAAATTGGGGCCCAAGTTGCTGGTCCGCCTGATTCAGGTCCTTGGCCTTCTCCTCGTCGGCCAGCCTTTTTTTGAGAAACCCTCAACCCTCGGGCTCAGGGTTTAGGCGTTTCGGGTTTCTGGGTTTAGGGTCTAGGGTTTAGGGTCTAGGGTTTCGGGGTTTGTGAGTTTAGGGTTTAGGGTTTAGGGTTTAGGGTTTGGGGTTGCAAAGAGAGAGAGAGAGAGAGAGAGAGAGAGAGAGAGAGAGAGGAGGAGAGAGAGAGAGAGACGACACTTCGGGACTAGCTGTGCCCATGCCGCGCTGAGTGGCAGCTCGTCAATCTTCGCCAGGTCACCTCTCGCGAGGATACCCGAAGAAGCCCTTTTGGGGTCTAAAGCTGATGGGGTTTAGGGTTTAGGATTTAGGGGTTTAGGGTTTAGGCTTTAGGGTTTAGGGTTAGGGTCTAGGGTTTAGGGCCGAAGGGACTCCACGGGAGGGATATCATCTGTATACCATGCCCTAAACCCTAAATCCTAAATCCCAAACCCTAAACCCTAAACACTAAACCCTAGACCCTAAACCCTAAACCCTAGACCCTAAACCCCGAAAGCCCTAAACACCTAAACCCGAAACCCTAAGCCCTAAACCCCATAAACCTCAGACCCCTAAAAAGGGCAGAGGGAGCCTGCGCGGGCAGCGTCGTGCAGCTCGGTGGAGGCGTTGCCCTGGTCCAGACTTGGCTCCGCCGGGGGCTTAGGGTTTAGAGTTTAGGGTGTAGGGTTCAGGGTTCAGGGTTTAGGGTTTCGGTTTAGGGTTTAGGGCTTGGGGTTTGGGGTTTGGGGTTTAGGGTTTAGGGTTTAGGGTTTAGGGTTTAGGGTTCAGGGTTTAGGGTTTAGGGTTTGGGCCATTGGAATATTTTCGGGTTTAGGGTTTAAGGCTTCAGGGTTTGTTAGGCTTTAGGGCTTTGTGGGTTTATATAAGGGTTTTTGCACTGGTAGACGATGGGGCTTGTCGGGCTTATGCCATATACCCAAGCATGTTTCGAGCCCATGCGGGTCAGCCGAAGACACAGCAAGCAACCAAACTTTCATCAGCCAGGGACCTTCCTGAACCCTAAACCCTAAACCCTGGAACCCTGAACCCTAAACCCTAAACCCTAAACCCTGGAACCCTGAACCCTAAACCCTAAACCCTGAACCCTAAACCCTAAACCCTAAACCCTTGCTTCAGGAGTTCCTGGCTTTAGGGCGTTTAGGATGTCTAGAAGGCTCCACCCAGAATTGCTCCTGGTAGCTTATCCCTAGAAACCCTAAGCCCCAGTAAGGGTTTAGGGTTTAGGGTTTAGGGTTTAGGGTTTAGGGTTTAGGGTTTAGGGTTCAGGGTTTAGGGTTTAGGGTTTAGGGTTTAGGGTTTAGGGTTTAGGGTTTAGGGTTTAGGGTTTAGGGTTTAGGGTTTAGGGTTTGGGGTTTGGGGTTTGGGGTTTGGGGTTTAGGGTATATTGTTTGTGTCCAGGGCTTGAGGTTTCGGGGCTTGGGGTTTGGGGTTTGGGGTTTAGGGTTTGGGGTTTGGGGTTTGGGGCTTAGGGTTTGGGGTTTGGGGTTTAGGGTGTAGGGTTCAGAACTTCGTCAGGGTTTTATAAGAGCTTTGCCTTTGGAGCCTTTTCCGGCCCGCCTTGGCAGACTCATCCTTACCTCCGCCTTCGCGGCATGAGTCAGTCGCTGCCACATGTGTCGCGTGTCAATCCGGCAAGAACGAAAGGCTCAAGAATTCTGGGTTCGGGTGTTTAAGGCCCCAAATCCCTAAACCCTAAACCCTAAACCCTGAACCCCTCAAGTCCTGACAGCCACCAGGAAAATGCAGGCAACCCCCGCATCCTGGACTATCACCCCATTCTCTGGCCCGGTCCTTTTCCACCTTTCTTCTTGCCTTTCTCCTTGCCTTTCTCCTTGCCTTTCTCCTTGCCTTTGTCCTTACCTGCCAGCGACGGTGTATGATTTGGGGCTTAGGGCCCTTAACCCTAAACCCTAAACCCTAAACCCCAAAACCCTAATCCCTAAACCGGGTTAGGGTTTAGAGGTTGTAGGTTGGCAATACCCTAGACCCTAGCACTTCAACTGCTCCGAGCTTTTCAGGGACCCATCCTCTGCTTCGCACCTAGGGCATTTAGAGGATTAGGGTTGAGGGCTTTAAGGGTTGCAGATTGAAGGGTTTAGGGTTTTGGAGTTTAGAGTTTAGGGTTTAGGGTTTAGGGTTTTGGAGTTTGTGGTTTGTGGGACTGGGGATCACGATGCCTTTGTCTTTGCCCTTGTCCTTGCCCTTGCCCTTCGCCATTGGGCAAGTGCAGTCTTCAATCCCTGTACGTTCGCTTGGAGACCCTAGACCCTAAACCCTAAACCCTAAACCCTAAACCCTAAACCCTAAACCCTAAACCCTAAACCCTAAAATGGTATGGTTTGTCTTCTTCTCACAGCTGGGACAAGCCAGGAGGTATCATAACAAAGGCCATTCATACTCTACCATACAACTGTATACATCTATTTCTGGGACTTTAACTCAAGCTCCTGAAACGTAGCCCAGCTTGCTCTCATGTTGCATGTGTGCCGCAGCTAGAAAGAGCCAGAGACAGTCGAAATGGTAGGTCAGGGGGTTCGAGGTTTAAGGCTTAGGGTTTAGGGCTCTTCTGCATGGGCAAGCCGACGATGCTCTTCAAGGCTCTTGCCCTACACCCTACACCCTAAACCCTAAACCCTAAACCCTAAACCTGTTGCCTTTCAAAGAATTTCAACTTGCAAGTAAACTGATGCAAGGAAGCAGATCGACATGGGAAGTGTGGCATGCCCATCGCAGACAAGAAGTAAGCACAACCATGAGAGAAGAACTCACTTTGCTCCCTGCGTTGAACCCAGGCAATCGGGAGTGGCGCGGGACGACCTCGAACCTTCCTAAACCCCGCCTCATGCTGATCAATATCAAGGCTTTTGGGTTTAGGGTTTAGGGTTTAGGGTTTAGGGTTTAGGGTTTACGGTTTAGGGTTTAGGGTTTAGGGTTTAGGGTTTAGGGTTGAGGGTTTAGGGTTTAGGGTTTAGGGTTTAGGGTTTAGGGTCAACGTGCAAACTGAGGGACCCCACTCCAGGTTGGCCCCTAAAGCGCCTCTGAACAGCAGTCCTACAGAAGGCGGTGCGCAAACCCCCACAAGGAGAACAGGAGCATCCCGACGGCCGAATCACCGGTTTAGGGTTTAGGGTTTAGGGTTTAGGGTTTAGGGTTTAGGGTTTAGGGTTTAGGGTTTAGGGTTTAGGGTTTAGGGTATGTACCAGGAAAATCTGAACTGCAACATGGCACACTAAGCTGCCCTGCAACCCCCGGCAACCCAGCTACCCTGGAACCCGAAACCCTTGAACCCAAAATGCCACGCAGATCAGCAGAGACGGGCCCCTAAACCCTCAACCCTAAACCCTAAACCCTGAGCCCCAAACCCTAAACCCTAAACCCTAAACCCTAAACACCCTTGAACCCAAAAGCACCCACGCCCGTTTTTCACCGGTCGATCCCCATCTCGTTGAGCGTCACCAGACGGTCGAAGTGTCGATCCGCCGTCTTCTCGTCCCCGAGGGCGCGGTGGAACTTGTTCAAGATCCAGAGGGCCTTCCTGGGGCTGTTTAGGGTATAGGGCTTTGGGGGTTTAGGGTTTTGGGGTTTAGGGTTAAGGGTTTGATCCATGGGGTTTTCATGGGGCTGTTTAGGGTTTAGGGGTTTCGGGTTTTAGGGTTTAGCGTTTTGGGGTTTAGGGTTGAGAGTTGAGGCTTGAGGGTTGAGGAGCTGCAGGGTTTAGGGGTTAGGGTACAGGCTTTCCTAGGCTTTGGGAAAGCTGTGGGTTGAGGGGTTTCAGGGTTTAGGGCTTAGGGTACAGGCGTCTGCCAACCTGTGGTTGAGAGCGAGAAAGAACAAACATGTTAAACAAGAAACGCATAACTAAAACAGTGAGATAATGAAATAATGAAAACAGAGATGAAAAGAAGAAAGGCAGAGGAAGGGAGGTGGCCCCTGAAGCCCTATAAATCACCCTGTAACCCTATAACCCTCTGACCCTTTTACCCTATAACCCTATAACCCTATCCCTATAACCCTATAACCCTAAACCCAAGCCCTAAACCCTATATCCCCCGAAACCCTAAACCCTAAACCCTAAACCCTAAACCCTAAACCCTAAACCCTTAACCTGCATTCGGTCGCGGCGCTGGTTCCGGGTGTTGGCCACCAGGTTCGGCTCCTGGTGGGACCAGGCTGTTTTTGGCGGGGGTTCTAGAGGTATATAACATACGGCCTATTGGGGTTCAGGGTTTAGGGTTTAGGGTTTAGGGTTTAGGGTCTAGGGTTTGGGGTATAGGGCTTAGGGCTTAGGGTTCTGGGGTTATAGGTCAGAGTGTTATAGGTTAGAGGGTTTGGGGTTCTAGGTTTATAGCGTTAGTGGGTTTTCGATTCTAGGGTTTAGGGATATAGGGTTGCAGGGCTTGGGTTCTGTTGAGTAGGGTTTAGGGTTTGGGGTTTAGGGTTTAGGGTTTAGGGTTTAGGGCTTAGGGCTTAGGGCTTAGGGTTTAGGGTTTAGGGTTTGGGGTTTGGGGTTTGGGGTTTGGGGTTTGGGGTTTGGGGTTTGGGGTTTGGGGTTTGGGGTTTGGGGTTTGGGGTTTGGGGTTTGGGGGTTTGGGGTTTTTGGGTTTGGGTTTGGGGTTTGGGGGTTTGGGGTTTGGGGGGGTTTTTGGGGTTTGGGGGGTTTGGGGTTTGGGGTTTGGGTTTGGGGTTTGGGGTTTGGGGTTTGGGGTTTGTGGGGCTTGAGGTTTTGGGGTTGGGGGTTTGGGTTTGGGGTTTGGGGGTTTGGGGTTGGGGGGGTTTGGGGTTGGGGGGTTTGGGGGGGTTTGGGGGGTTTGGGGCTTGGGGCTTGGGGCTTGGGGGGGTTTGGGGTTTGGGGTTTGGGGTTTGGGGGGGTTTGGGTTTGGGTTTGGGTTTGGGGTTTGGGTTTTGGGGTTTGGGGTTTGGGGTTGGGGTTTGGGGTTCAGGGTTTTGGGCTTAGGGTCCGCCGACCCTGGCGGCGTGTTGGATGGGTTTGAGGAGGTGAAAACCTCCCTCTTTCCCTCCCCCAAAACGCCCGGGGGGGGGTAGGGGGGTACCACCCGGGCAGCTTTTCCATGGAGGGCCAGGCCACCCACACCGCGTAAACTCACGGCCATACAGGCGGTTTCGCACAGGACATAGGGGGCTCTCCCCCCTTACCCCCCCCCCCCCCCCCCCGTACCCCCCCCCCCCCCCCCCCCCCCCACCCCCCCCATCCTAGCAACACAGATTGGCCTGACCTTTCTCCAGCAATTGATTGAACTATCCCGCCCCCAAGCTAACTTCAGCTCAGAGGCTTTTATGATTTTGGAACCATGCGATGAGGAAAGCATCATTTGAGCCGACGAGCGGGTTTAGACCTTTCAACTATGCTCCAGCGGGGTCGGCGGCTTGAGCCGGAGGCTCTTAAATTTAGGGTTCAGGGTTTAGGGTTTAGGCCTGCAAAGCATCCGTAGGCCTACCTCTGCAAGTTATTCAAATCGCCGACTTGCAGCAGCACCAGGGCCGGATTGACGTTGACATGTCAGAATCAAGCGTTATAAAAAAAGAAACATTAATAACATATCATAACATGGTATAATCAAATTTCGTAGTATATAGTATTCTTATAGCATGAGCAACGAATACGTTAATAAGGTAATAGTCTAACATTACATAATCATATTGTCATAGTATACAAACATAACAGTATGATGAAGTAGGGCTTCGGGTTTTGGACTTAAGGGTGATCAAACCGCCGCTTTGGCGGTCACCCCCGGGATTAAAAAAATGAAAGTTTAGAGTTCAGAGTGTAGGGTTTAGGGTTTAGGGTCCGTACATGAATGACCCACTAGATCATTTTCTCGACCTGTTCGCTCGGCATTCTACATTTGTCCGACGCTGCTTTAGGAAGGCTGTGGAGCAACAGACAGTGGTTAGTTTGGATGCCCGTGTGTGTGGCTGTCACTAACCCCCAAAAACCGCAATAAACAATTCAAGCCCGACACCCCCTGAACCCTAACCCTAAACCCTGAAAACCTAAACCCCTAATCCCTAAACCCTAAACCCTAAACCCCCCAACCCTAAACCCCGAAACCCCGAAACCCCGCCCGAAACCCCTAAACCCCCGAAACCCCAAAACCCTTGAAGCGCGTGCCAAAGGGTCCCAGTGTTGCATCACCTGCTGAAAAGTCCGGAGGGCGGCTGCCTGCGGAGGTAGGTTTCCCCCTCGTTGTTGGGGCTCCCCTGCACTTGTACGAAGCTCTTGCATGGTAGGGTTTAGGGTTTAGGGTTTAGGGTTTAGGGTTTAGGGTTTAGGGTTTAGGGTTTAGGGTTTAGGGTTTAGGGTTTAGGGCTTAGGGCTTAGGGCTTAGGGCTTAGGGCTCAGGGACTTCAGGCTTTGGGGGTTTGGAAAGGAACTCATAACTCAGAGAGCTGCCGGGCTGAATGCCAAAACCCCACTACCTGAACCCCAAAAAACCTGGCGGCTTCTTCGTAGGGAATGAGGTACCCTATATAATCCCTTAAAGGGTATATCTAGGGAGGGAATGAGGTACCCTATATTCCCTTAAAGGGTATATCTGGGGCCCTAATTCCCTCCTAAAATACCTGGCATGCAGGCGATGAGCTACGCAAACCCTCACTGGCATCCCTAAACCCTAAACCCTAAACCCTAAACCCTAAACCCTAAACCCTACACCCTATACCCTTAACCCAAACCCTAAGCCCTAAACCCTAAACCCTAAACCCTAAACCGTGTGTGTGGCTGATGACTCTGGGGGTACACGTCTCGGGGCAGAGGCCTCACCGGCTTTGATGCGGCCCACGAGCCAGGAGGCGAGCCTGGGCTCGTTTAGGGTTTAGGGTTTAGGGTTTAGGGTTTAGGGTTCAGGGTAGGGTTCAGGGTTCAGGGTTCAGGGTTTAGGGTTTAGGGTTTAGGGTTCAGGGTTCAGGGTTCAGGGTTTAGGGTTTGGGGTTTGGGGAGTCTAGGAAGCTTCGGATTTGGGGTTTAGGGGCTCTGGGGTTTAAGGCTTCGGGTCTCACAGGGTTTTGGAACCCCCTAAACCCCTAAACCCCTAAACCCCTAAACCCCTAAACCCCTAAACCCCTAAACCCCTAAACCCCTAAACCCCTAAACCCCTAAACCCCTAAACCCTAAACCCTAAACCCTAAACCCGAAGGCCAAGCGGCTCAAACTGGGTCGGCACGTGGTAGGGATCCTTCCTCGTCCCTTCCAGGATGACCTGAACATGGACAAGCTCTAGGTTCTTGTTCAGGGCTTAGGGTTTCATTGTACAGGGTTCAGGGTTCAGGGTTCAGGGTTTAGGGTTTAGGGTTTAGGGTTTAGGGTTTAGGGTTTAGGGTTTAGGGTTTTAGGCCTGAGGGTTTTTGTGTTTAGGGCGTGGAAAAGCTTAAGGAACTTGCATCTTAGGTTGGTTCTTCATAAAAGGGTGGCATAGCACATGATACAGTATTACTGAGCATCCTAGCTCCATTTAGGCTCCATGACAATGCTCCCAGCATGCAGATAGCCTGAACTTCTGCACCCCGGAATTTCCCGGGGTTGCCGTTCGGGAGCTTAACAGAAGCTGCCCGCTAAGGAACCATATCATCTTACGGGGTATATAAATATGATAAAAACCTTATTATTGCTCTCAGTCCTTCTGAGATATCACTATTATTTTTATCAGTTGTGATATTATGATCTTAGGTATATGCATATATATATATATATCTATATACATGTATCTCAAACCGTGAACCATCAAGTTCAGGTCCCCAACCGCAACCCCGCATCTGCCCCTCCCCGCCTCGACCGCTTCCTGCGGATCCATGTGCGTCAGGCAGTAGAAGAGGACGCGGCGGGCGTGGAGGTCGTTCTTGGCGCCTGCTTTTCCCTGAATTCTGGAACCAATCCCTAAACCCTAAACCCTAAACCCCTTAAGTCAGAGTAGGATCAGAGTAGGACCCGAGATGTACGAATAAGAAGGCAGAGGGAAGGATCCTTCGTTTAGGGGACCTAGGACTTGGGAAGCTCTGGATCCTCGCGCATGCCGAATCTGCCTTACTGAGCCCTGAAGCCCTTGAAGTCCTTAAAGCGCTTGAACCCTTGAACCCTTGAACCCTTAAGCCCTTAAACGCTTAAACGCCCTCAATAAAGGAGCCGAGACCGAAGAACATGCCCGGCAACTGTTCGCAAAAGACGAGCTGCACACTTGGGGGGAGCGGGGGGGCCAGTGGAATTCGAATCTGCCCTAATCCGTACAGAGCTTAGAGACTCTCAGCAACCCAAAAACCCTCAAGCCCTTAGCCCATTGAAGTCTTAAAACCCTTGAAGCCCTTAAGCACTTACACCCCTCATTCCTCAACCCTTGAACCATCCCTGAACCCCTGAAGCCCGAAACCCCTGAACCCGTAGACCCTAAACCCCCAACACCCCAAAAACAAAACCCCTAAACCCCTAAACCCCTAAACCCTAAACCCTCAACCCTAAACCCTAAACACCCTAAACCCCTAAAACTACACTCTTAAACTCCCAAACTTGGCATGTTCCCCCCTTATACTGACAGTCCTTAGTCGCGATCATAGTACCCCCTGCGATTATCATCCCGGACTGTTAGTATAAGTTTAAGGGAACATCCCAACCCTAAGCCGTAAACCCTAAACCCTAAACCCGAAAACCCTAAACCCTAAACCCTAAACCCTAAACCCTAAACCCTAAACCCTAAACCCTAAACCCTAAACCCTAAACCCTTTCGCTTTCGGGCTTGAGGTCACCAGGGGGCCTTAAACCCTCAACCCTCAACCCTCAACCCTCAACCCTCAACCCTAAACCCTAAACCCTAAACCCTAAACCCTAAACCCTAAACCCTAAACCCTAAACCCTAAACCCTGCCTTGGGCCAGGAAAGCCCGGGCAGCCGCCGCCAGCTCCTACGGAGCGCCCCAATGGCAGGCAGTGAAGGGTTTAGGGTTTAGGGTTTAGGGTTTGGGGTTTAGGGTTTGGGGTTTAGGGTTTAGGGTTGAGGGTTCAGGGTTTGGGGGTTCGGGGCTTTAGGGGTTTAGGGGGTTTTAGGGTTTTGGGGTGGGTTATTAGGGTTTTGGGGTTATTAGGGTTTTGGGGTTTTAGGGTAATTGGGGTGTTTTTTTTCGGGTTTTAAGGCTCTAGGGTTTTTGGGTTATTAGGGTTTTGGGGTTTCTGGGCCTTAGGGGTTTAGGGTTGTTAGGGTTGTTAGGGTTTTAGGGTTTTAAGGCTTTAGGGTTTTGGGGTTATTAGGGTTTTAGGGTTTCAGGGCTCTAGGGTTGGGTCATAGGGGTTTTGGGGTTTTAGGGTTTTGGGGCTCAAAGGTTTTAGGGTTTTAGGGATTTAGGGTTTGGGGCTTAGTTTGGGGCTTTAATTCGGTTTAGGGCTGAAGGGTTTAGGGTTTCGGGTTTAGGGATAGGGGTTTGGGGCGACTTGGGGTGTTTAGGGGTTAGGGCGGTTTAGGGCGGTGTTTGAGGGAGTTTGATGAAGGAATTTAAGGGGGTCTAGGGAGTTTCGGGCTGGGAGTTTCGGGCTGAGGGTACGAGATCCCCCGAGCACCCTCGAAAAAGAAAACCAGGGCAAAACTATGGGTCCTAGATTGGGGTCCCTTGTCTTTGTTTTGCTCTATTCTGCTATTTTTGCGTTTTTGGAGGGGAGGGGGGGGGGGGGGGACTTAGGAAAAAACACCCCCTAAACGAATTTCGGTAGGATTTAGGGCTTAGGGTTCAGGGCTTAGGGCCACGCACCCCTCATCACAAGTCTTCAGGACTCCTTCGATGAGGCTCCTCGAAAATGCAACTGTTCTACTGACCCCGTTCATAGTGTTTCATGACCCCCTGAACAGAGATACATACTTATGCACATGCACACACATGTAATCATGCAGCCTATGAAACTCTAACCCTAAACCCCAAACCCAAAACCCTAAACCCGAAACCCGAAACCCTAAACCCTAAACCATCACCCTAGACCCTAAACCCTAAACCCTAAACCCTAAACCCTAAACCCTAAACCCTAAACCCTAACCCTAAACCCTAAACCCCAAACCCTAACTACTTCCTATTTCATTCATGTGTTCCCCAGCTCCTCCACACTGGAAGGCTGCTCCTGCCAGACCTTCACGCCGCTTTGTGCGTGTAGGGTTTAGGGTTTAGGGTTTAGGGTTTAGGGTTTAGGGTTTAGGGTTTAGGGTTTAGGGTTTAGGGTTTAGGGTTTAGGGTTTAGGGTTTAGGGTTTGGGGTTTAGGGTTTGGGGTTCAGGGTTGTGGGCTTTAAGGTTTGGGGTTTAGGGCCTCCGAAACGGCGCGGAGCGAGACGCCCTTGAAGAATTGCCTCAGCTCGGGAGGCTCTGGGCGGCTGAGGATGTCCCTAAACCCTAAACCACAAACCCCAAACCCTACACCCTAAACCCTAAACCCCAAACCCTAAACCCTACACCCTAAACCCTACACCCTAAACCCCAAACCCCAAACCCCAAACCCCAACTTCAAACCCCAAACCCTAAACCCTAAACCCAAACCCTAAACCCCAAACCCTAAACCCCAAACCCCAAACCCTAAACCCTAAACCCTAAACCCTAAACCCTAAACCCTACCATCGCAGTCGAGTTCAGCGCAGGCCCAGCGGCTGCGGCTCCGGTGCCAGGTCTTTGCTTTGGATGCTGACCTGGGTAAGGAAACTGAAACCTCAACCCTAAACCCTAAACCCTAAACCCCAAACCCTAAACCCTAAACCCTAAACCCTAAACCCCAAACCCTAAACCCTAAACCCTAAACCCCAAACCCTAAACCCTAACCTTAAACCCTCAGCCCGTGTGGGAACAAGGAGCCGCGGGGCTTTGCATTTGTTAACGGAGGCTCTGCAGGAACTCTGCAGCCCAGGACGAAAAGCGATTTTGAAACTGGACTGAGTGGGTAGAGAGAGGTCTTTAAGGGCTTCAAGAGCTTTCAAGAGTTTCTGGGGTTTAAAAGGTAAGGGGGCTTCAAGGGATTCAAAAGGTTTAAAGGGTTTTAAGGGTTTGAAGGGCTTAAGGGTTTGCAAGGCCTGGAAAGGGTTTAAAGGGTTTGAAGGGCATAAAGGGTTTTAAGGGCCTTGAAGGGCTTTTGAGGGGTTAAAGGATTTAAAGCGCTTGAAGGCCTTGAAGGGCTTTAAAGGGCTTAAGGGTTCAAAGGGTTAAAGGGCTTTAAAGGTTCAAGGGCTTTAAAGGGCTTAAAGGGCTTAAAGGGCTTAAAGGGCTCAAAGGGGCTCAAAGGGGCCAAAAGGGGCTAAAAGGGGCTTAAAGGGTTTTAAGAGCTTTAAGGGCTTTCAGGGCTTCAAGGGTTTTAAGGGCTTGGAGACCTGACAGTCACATCGACGCCAAATCCAATAGTATTCTTGGTATTCCCTTCTGGTCCCTTTGTAATTATACTAGAATACCCCCCCAATTTAGGGTTTAGGGTTCAGGGTTCAGGGTTGAGGGTGTAGGGTTTAGGGGTTTAGGGTTTAGGGTTTAGGGTGTAGGGAAAACCCTGTTCTCATCATTAAGGCCTCTACACTACTGACTCACTCAAGCGGCGGCCACGCAGTCTTCCAGGTTCACCACCGCGTGGTACCAGCCGTCGGGGATGTACACCGAATCCCCAGCCTCCATGGTGAACTCCAGTGGCCTGGAGGGGGTAAACTTTCAAGACCCTAAACCCTAAACCCCAAACCCGAAACCCTAAACCCTAAACCTCAAACCCTAAACCCTAAACCTCAAACCCTAAACCCTAAACCCTAAACCCTAAACCCTAAGCTTTACAGGGCCTTTGGGGGTTGTTGGGTTTGGGGTTGAGGGCTCTGCCCATCGGAAGAAGTACGCCTGGCCCTTGTTCATGCGCCTTTCTGGATACCACTTCAACCTGGCTCCTTTGGCATGCTCCCCCTTCTACTAACAGTCCTTAATAGAGATTATAACAAGGGATACCTTAATAGGGATTATAATAAGGGATACCTTAAAAGGGGTTATAACAAGGGATAGTAGAGTAGGGATTATCAGAAGGGTTACTATAATCCCTATTAAGGACTGCTAGTATCGGGGGGACCGTCCCAGATCTGAATCCCTTCAAAACAAAAAATTGCCAGGGAGGCCTCAAGGAAGAAAGAAACAAAAAGGGGGGGCGGCCTCTCTGCGGGCTCGAGAGTTGGATAGACCAGCTGCAACCAGTCCTGGTGCACAGATTTCTGGATTGCTACACCTACTACTAATTGCTATTATTACTCTTCTCCACCGATTGTTTAGGGTTTAGGGTATAGGATTTAGGGTTTAGGGCTACTAGTTATCATTACTCCGAATAGCAGGAGGCTTGGGTCTCGCGATGCCGACCCCACCGCAGCCCCATGGGGATTGAAATTGAGTAACTAGAGACCACCATGCAGCACAACAACAGCCCAACGGCAAAGGAATGCGCCAAGACTAAACCCTGAACCCTGAACTCTGACCCCTAATCCCTAAACCCTAACCCCTAAACCCTAAACCCGGAACCCGAAACCCTAAACCCTCATCAATGCTCCATTCGCCGCCCCGGCGGCCGTCAATGAGAAGCCGCCCCCCGGGCCGTCGCCGGGCGGGTAATGCCCAGGTGGATACAGGAACCAGCGCTTCCTGCTCGGGTTTAGGGTTTAGGGTTTAGGGTTTAGGGTTTAGGGTTTAGGGTTTAGGGTTTAGGGTTTAGGGTTTAGGGTTTAGGGTTTAGGGTTTAGGGTTTAGGGTTTAGGGTTTAGGGTTTAGGGTTTAGGGTTTAGGGTTTAGGGTTTAGGGTTTAGGGTTTAGGGTTTTTTTTCAACCGGAATCGCAGTCTGACTTTGATTGCCAATCCCAACCTCTACGACGACGCTAGGCGTAAAGGTCCATGAACAATGGGCATGCCCTATATACACCTCTTGAGGGATTGTAGTGAGTAACCCTAACCCCTAAACCCTAGACCCTCTGAACCCCGAACCCTGATTCCTAAACCATTCAGAACCAGTAGGACCAGCAAGAGTGGCATCTATCAACCCTAAACCCTAAACCTTAAACCCTAAACCCTAAACCGGTAAGGAGATGAGATGGTGGTGCAAGAGGGAGGTGTTTCACGCCGACCGGACGGCACTCCTGCCGCTCCGGAACTCCAAAGCCCGCCACAAAGCCTGAAGCCCCCA